GGGCAATAAAGCAATACCCTCATTCTCTTTCCCTCTTCCTCTTTCTCTTTCTTCCTCTTCTTTTTTTTTTTTTGGAGGCGAAGTTTTGCTCTTGTTACCCAGGCTGGAGTGCAATGGCGCAATCTCGGCTCACCGCAACCTCCGCCTCCTGGGTTCAGGCAATTCTCCTACCTCAACCTCTTGAGTAGCTAGGATTACAGGCACGCGCCACCATGCCCAGCTAATTTTTTGTATTTTTAGTAGAGACGGGGTTTCACCATGTTGACCAGGATGGTCTCGATCTCTTGACCTCGTGATCCACCTGCCTCAACCTCCCTAAGTGCTGGAATTACAGGCTTGAGCCACTGCGCCCGGCTCTTCCTCTTCTTTATTCTTTTTCTTATTATTCTTTTCTTTCTCAAAAAAAAAGAAAGAAAGAAAAAGTCAATATAAGTTATGTTTCTTTGTGCAAGGTTTGTGCAATGAAAATCAAACAATGCTGTTGAAAGAAATAAAGATAAAGAAGTATATCACGTTCACACATTGAAGACTCAATATTGTTAAGATTTCAATTCTCCCAAATTGATCTCTAGATTCAATACAATTCTAATAAACATCCCAGCAGGCTTTTGGTAGAAATTGACAAACTGATTTTAAATTATATATAGAAAAAAAAATTAGCTGGGCATGGTGGCACACGTCTGTAGTCCCAGCTACTCAGGAGGCTGATGCAGAAGAATTGCATGAACCCAGGAGGCGGAGGTTGCGGTGAGCCAAGATCATGCCATTGCACTCCAGCCTGGGTAACAAGAGTGAAACTCCATCTCAAAAAAAAAAAAAAAAAAAAAAAAAAAAAAAAAAAAAAGGGCTCAGTGGCTCACACCTGTAATCCTAACTATTCCAGAGGCTGAGGCACAAGAACTTGAACCTGGGAGGCAGAGGTTGCAGTGAGCTGAGATCATGCACTCCAGCAGCCTGGATGACAGAGCGAGACTGTCTCAAAAAAAATAGAGAGAGAGAGAGAGAGAAATACCAAAGACCAAAAAGAAAGGAAGAATAAATACAAATACTGTTGGATCACACATAAAGTTCACACTGTACATCTGAATACATGCACAGTAACAGGCAGACCTGTAACCATGTTCATAGCTCTCTGACCAACAATAAGAGCATACACACTTACTCCTGAACACCCACAGGCCAACGCTTTTTCGTTGATTTGTGGATCTTGCCGAAGGAGAAGAAAGTTCCTTGTCCCCAAGAGATTTGCTCAAACATGACCTTGGGAGAGGGTGAGCCTAGGACCCAGTGGGTGTCAGACTCTTTGCAAGACATCCAGGGAGGTCTCTTCTGGGACTATAGGCACCCACCACCAGGCCCGGCTAATTTTTGTATTTTTAGTAGAGACATGGTTTCACCATATTGGTCAGGCTGTTCTCAAACCCCTGACCTCAAGTTATCTGCCTACCTCAGCTTCCCAAAGTGCTGGGATCACAGGTGTGAGCCACTGTGCTGGGACAGTTTTTTCTTATAATTAAAAAAAAAATTACATATTTTTATAGTGAATATTTAAACAATACAGAAAAGCACAAAGAAGAGAATCACTTATAGTTCTACATCCTAGTAATCATGTGATCTAGAGATAACAGTACTTTAGTATAAATTCTTTCAAGCTTTAAAATTCACATATATATAGATACATATGTACACACACATCTTATGTTAATATATAAGATGCCTGATTGAGGCCAGGCATAGCAGCTCACGCCTGTAATCCCAGCACTTTAGGAAGCAGAAGCAGGCAGATTACGAAGTCAAGAGATGGACACCACCCTGGCCAACATGGTGAAACTCCCTCTCTACCAAAAAAATTACAAAAATTAGCTGGGTGTTGTGGTGCACACCTGTAGTCCCAGCTACTTGGGAGGCTGAGGCAGAAGAATTGCTTGAACCCAGGAGGCAGAGGTTGCAGTGAGCCGAGATGGCACCACTGCACTCTAGCCTGGCAAAAGAATGAGAGTCTGTCACAAAAAAGAAAAAAAGATGCCTGATTGATATATTTGCCTATTTTCATTTATTTTATATGCCTTTCAGCTGGAGGCTTTACTTTTTTTTTCTTTTTCTTTTGGAATAATTTTAAGCTTACAGAAAAGTTGCAGAGATAAAGAGAGTTACTGTATACCTTTCACTCAGCTTGCCTTAACATTAACATATGACATACTGTAGTATATTTGTCAAAACTAAGAAATTAATAGTGTATAGTATTCTTAACTAAACTACAGACATTATTCAGATTCCCAGTTTTCCACTTATGTCCTGGTTTCTTTTTTTTTTTCAAGAGAGAGTCTTGCTCTGTCACCCAGGCTGGAGGGCAGTGACATAATCTGGGCTCACTGCAACCTCCGCCTCCCAGGTTCAAGAAATTATCCTGCCTCAGCCTCCCAGGTAGCTGGGATTACAGGCACTCACCACCATGCCCAGCTAATTTTTTGTATTTTTAGTAGAGATGAGGTTCCGCTATGTTGGCTAGCCTGGTCTCAAACTCCTGACCTCAAGTAATCCACCTTCCTTGGCCTCCCAAAGTGTTGGAATTACAGCCGTGATCCACTGCACCCAGCCTATGTCCTATTTCTGTTCCAGGATACCACACGTTGTGTTTAGAAATATACTTTTTAAAAAAAATTTTCATACAGATACAAACACTTTATTAGTTTCCTCTACAAGAGACAATAACATCAATCTATTTTTTTTTTTTAAACAGGAATCTCAGTTCATTTGAGAGGCCAAATAGATTCAAAGAAGGAAGATGAAAATTAAATACTTAAATCAATCAAAAGGCACTACAATACCACCTAAAACCTACTGCCTCAATGGCAGTAGGCTAAGGAAGATGAAGCTACTGCATATCATCTAATGTGAATGTTAGCAATTACATAGCAGCAAAAATGTTTGCTTTCCAGAAGACTGGTACAATGTTCATTTGGGCCCAAGAGGATATTTGGCCAGGAAAGGATCAAGATAGATGAAGGTAAAGCCAAATCAAAAGGAATAGGTACAAAGTCAAGCAGATGGTGATGCATCAGCCTTCTTCCTCCCAAGAAACATTTGCTGCACGGTGCTGACTCCAGCCTCAAACAGCTCCCACCCCCACCTCCCCACCCAATGTCTGCTCAAGCCAAGCTGCCTGCTCCTGCCTTACAGGGTGCTCAGCCATCAGGAGTAGGTTTGGGGTTGCCCTGGGCTCTTGCTGTCATTTAGCGTAGACCTTGGAAAGAACTGGTCACACTGGGTTTGCTTTGTTACTAGTGATACTATTTTTTTGAGACAGAGTCTCACTCTGTCGCCCAGGCTGGAGTGCAGTGGCGCAATCTTGACTCACTGCAAACTTCACCTCTAGGTTCAAGCAATTCTTGTGCCTCAGCCTCCTGAGTAGCTGGGACTGCAGTCGTGCACCACCACACCCAGCCTTTTTTTTTTTTTTTTTTTTTTTTTTTTTTTTTTTTTTTGAGACGGAATTTTGCTCCTGTTGGCCAGGCTGGAGTTCAACAGTGCAATCTCAGCTCAGTGCAATTTCCACCTCCCACGTTCAAGCGATTCTCCTGCCTCAGCCTCCTAAGTAGCTGGGATTACAGGCGTATGCCACTATGCCTGGCTGATTTTTGTAATTAGTAGAGAAGGGGTTTCACCATGTTGGTCAGTCAGGTCTGGAACTCCTGACCTCAGGTGATCCACACACCTTGGCCTCCCAAAGTGCTGGGATTACAGGTATGAACCACCGCACCCAGCCTAGACACATATGTTTTTACAAATTTCAGCTGTTTCTTAATTGTTCCTTTTCTTTTCCCACCACATGCATCAGAGTGCCTTCCCGCATCTTTTTGTCTCCTTGCCTTTGGGCCAAATGTTTGCTCTCCTTGCATGTTTCTCCATATACTGCCTTTGGTGCCCCTCAGTGTGAAGTCTCCCCAAAGACTCCTTCGATCAAGCAAACCCTACTCCCAGTCCCCTCTCCGGGTAGGATCATTCTAGCCAAGAGGTTTAACCATCATGGGACACTTTCCCCAGGACTGGACAGGATCCACTGCCTTCTGCTTCCTTTCAGTGTGAATCTGCCCTGTACTTGCCACTGTAATTCCAGCCCCACGATGCCCAAACCTGTTCTCTGGGAGCCTAAGACTTTACCTGTTATCTCATCCACGTAATTTCCTGTGCCACCTTGAAATTCCCGGAAGATGCCTAAAGTATCTTTGTAGTCCTTGCTTTGAAATGGCTACCCAAGTTTTATATAGGCACCAACTGTTTCAGTCATTAAGGGGACTCTCCTGCTATCCTTATATTTACCATCTATGTGAAACTTTTAAGGGCAATTTTCCTTCCCTTCAGTACAGAGAGTTGAAGAAATCTCTTCAGTTCAAGTATACCATTTTTCCTCTCTGGTAAGGAGATCTCTTTTATTTTCCCCCTAGTCATGCCCTACTTATTCATCTTTCTCCCTATCCCATAAGAGACTCACTATAATGTGTTTAATGCATTCCTAAAAAATATACAGTGTTCTTATGGGTAGGTATAACTTTAGCCTACATAAATAGTGTTATACTCTAGATCTTACTGTATTTCTTCTTTACGCGACACCTGTTTTTAAGATTGTTGTGGAGTTCTAAGTACCTTTAGTTCACTGTGGCTGACTGCTGCACAGTACAGCAAAGTATGCATTCACACATTTTGCTTCCCCATTTCTCTAGCAATGAACCCCTAGGCTGCCTTCATGTACAATCCTCTGATGAATGCACTTGTTTATGTTCCTCTGGGAACACGAGATTGCTGGCTCATTGGCTAGATGCATATTCAAATTCATAAAATAGAGTCAGGTGGCTTCCAGAATAGCTCTACAAGTTTATAATCCCACCAATAATTGTTCCCTTTTCCCCACATCCTTTCCAACACTTGGCAGGTATTATCTGATTTGCCTAACTTTTGTTAATTGAGGTGACACCAAGTGATATCATGGGTTTTTTTGGGGGGGGTACCAAATTTCTTTATTTGAAGGAATGGTACAAAGAACTTAAGTGGATGTTTTGGTACAACTTATAGAAAAGGTAAAGAAAACCCCAATATACATGCACTGCCTTGGTGACCAGGGAAGTCACCCCGTGGCTATGGGGAAATTAGCCTAAGGCTTAGCTTTCATTATCACTGTCTCCCAGGGTGTGCTTGTCAAAGAGATATTCTGCCAAGCCAGACTGGGGTGCTCCCATCTTGCACAAGTTGGTCACATGGTCACCCAATTCTCTGATGGATTTCACCTGCTCATTCAGGTCATGCGTCTCAATGAAGTCACACAAATGGGGGTCATTTTTGTCAGTGGCTAGTGTGTGCGGTTCCAGTAGTGACTGACTCACGTTTTTTTCCTAATGTAATGCACACTCCATCGCCTTCAGCCGGCTTTCCCAGTCATCATGGTCTGGTTTCTTGATATCCTGAAGGAAGATGCGGCCACCTGGTAGGTGCTGCAGCTTCATCAGTTTCTCCGCATGTTCCCTCTCCTCAGGAGATTGGTGAAGAAAGCACTTGACAAAGTTCTTCAGAGCCGCATCATCGCGGTCAAGGTAGTAAGACATGGACAGGTGAACACAGGAGGTGTAGAGCTCCGGGTTGATCTGGCGGGTGATGGCGGCCTCTGAGTCCTGACGGGAGTTCCGGCGCGCCTGCGCAGACGCGTTATGGCGGCGGCTAAGGAGAGATGGCGGCGGCTAAGGAGAGATGGCGGCGGCTAAGGAGAGATGGCGGCGGCTAAGGAGAGATGGCGGCGGCTAAGGAGAGATGGCGGCGGCTAAGGAGAGATGGCGGCGGCTAAGGAGAGATGGCGGCGGCGGTGGTTGCGCGGTGCTGGTGAGGCGGCGGGGGCCTTGGGGGTCCCAGGGCGCGGTGTGGAGGCGACGGAGGGCAGGCTGTGGGCGGCCGGCCGGGGTGGGGGACCAGCGCCGGTTCCGTCCAAGGACTGTTGAAGCAGGAAACCGTGGCGACTCTCCTCGAAGAACGTCTTGCGAGATCATGTTTTAATTTGCATGGCTCAGGGTACTTCTAAGATTGAGCATTCATTTTTTGAGACAGGGTCTCACTCTGCTGCCCAGGCTGGAGTGCAGCTTTCAATCCCAGGCTCAAGCTAGCTCCTGCCTTAGCCTTCTGAGTAGCTAAGACCTCAGGTGCACATCACCAGGCCTGGCCTTTTTTATTTTTTTTTCTAGACATGGGGTCTGCAGTGTTGTTCAGGCCGGTGTGGAGCTCCTGGGCTCAAGCAATCCTGCCTCAGCCTCCCAAAATGCTTGGATTACAGGTGTGAGCCACTATGCCTGGCCAAAATTGGGCATATCTTCACACACTTGCCAGCCACTCTAATTTCCTTTCTGTGATTTCTGACTTCATTCTTTGCCCACTTTTCCATTGGATTTTTGGCCTTTTTCTTGTTGATCCACAGGAGTTTCTTGAGCATTACAGATATTAATCTTGTATAGCTTTAGACATTGTAAATCTCTTCTCTGTGGAGGAAGTCTGCTTGGAGGGGGTTGGAGCTCACTATCAGGGAATTAATATAATTCATTTGCTGAGATCTAGCCTCTCCTGCTAAATCTCTTGAGTCCTAGTCACCCTCCTTAAACTATTCCCCATTTTTCTAATCCATTTATTAAAAGTAGTAAGTTTGGGGCTAGGTGTGGTGGCTCACACCTATAATCCCAGCACTTTGGGAGGCTGAGGTGGGTGGATCACCTAAGGAATTTGAGATCAGCCTGGCCAACATGGTGAAACCCCGTCTCTACTAAAAGTACAAAAACTAGCCGGGCATGGTGGCAATTGTGGTGGTGTGCACCTGTAATCCCAGCTACTCCAGGCTGAGGCAGGAGAATCCCTTGAATCTAGGAGGCAGAGGTTGCAGTGAGCTGAGATGGCACCACTGCACTCCAGCCTAGGTGACAGAATGAGACTCAGTCTAAAAAATAAAATAAGAGTGGTTAGTTTGGGTTTCTATGTCTATGCTGTCCTCCAGAATATCCATCTTGATTGCTGTATTACTCAGGATAGTGATGGCTTGTGAGAGGAGAAAGGCTTGTGATTTGAACAGGGCACACAGAAGGTTTTCTGGGGAGGCTGGAAAAAAATTATTTTTCATTTTTTTCTTTTTTGAGACAGGTTCTTGCTCTGGTTGCCCAGGCTGGAGTGAAGTAGCACAATCTCGGCTCACTGCAGCATCGACCTCCTGAGCTCAGGTAATTCTCCTTCCTCAGCCTCCTGAGTAGCTGGGACTACAAGTGCACACTACCGCAACTGGCTAGTTTTTTGCATTTTTAGTAGAGACAGGGTTTCACCATGTTGCCCAGGCTGGTCTCAAACTCCTGGACTCAAGCGATTCACTTGCCTTGGCCTCCCAAAGTGCTGGGATTACAGGCATAAGCCACCATGCCTGGCTTTATTTCTTAATCTGGGTGGTTTTACCTTATAATAATAAATTAAGCTATACATTTGATTTGCATGATTTTCATTACTATGCCCTGTTTTACAATAAAATATTAAAATATGTGTCCTTCAGTTACCTTTCATTTTCTACTACTCTTCAATTTGCAAGACTAAAATTCATTTTTCAAAACAATCTAGTTTCTCCCTGAGTGGAAGCAAACCTGATTGCCAGACATAGACTGCTCTGGAAATGGGCTTTTTCAATTACTACAAATCAGATATTCCTCTTTATGGTCCACCGATAAAACTGACCACCCTCTGGTGGCTAAATCCACAGCCATGGCAAGGATCTGTGCTGTCAATCTGCCAGGGCAATGCTGGGCCTGAGAGTGGAGATCGATGGGACTCAGGAACCTCTGAATCTACCTCATGAGCCTAAGGGCTTAGCTTGGCCATGCTTCCTTATTAATAGGATCTGGGTCATGTATAAAACAAGAGAAAGATGCCAAAATCTAGGGAGGTTACGGCCGCTAGTGACCTAAGGACTCAAAACTTCACACACATATATTAAGAACCATATATAAAGAAATGGCCATGGATGGGTGTGGTGGCTCACGCCTAAAATCCCAGCACTTTGGGAACCTGAGGTGGGCAGATCACTTGAGCCCAGGAGTTCAAGACCAGGCCTGGGCAACATGGCAAAACCCCATATCTGGTAAAAAATACCAAATATTAGCCAGGCGTGGTGACACACACTTGTAATCCCAGCTATTCGGAGGGCTGAGGTGGGAGGATCACCTGAGCCCAGGAGGCGGAGGTTGCAGTGGGCTGAGATGGTGCCACTGCACTCTAGACTGGGTTGACAGAGGAACTGTCTCAAAAAAGAGTTAAAAAAAAAAAAATGGGCCAGGCGCGGTGGCTCAAGCCTGTAATCCCAGCACTTTTGGAGGCTGAGGCGGGTGGATCGCGAGGTCAAGAGATCGAGACCATCGTGGTCAACATGGTGAAACCCCGTCTCTACTAAAAATACAAAAAATTAGCTGGGCATTATTGTGCGTGCCTGTAATCCCAGCTACTCAGGAGGCTGAGGCAGGAGAATTGCCAGAACCCAGGAGGCGGAGGTTGCGGTGAGCCGCGATCGCACCATTGCACTCCAGCCTGGGTAACAAGAGCGAAACTCCGTCTCAAAAAAAAAAAAAAAAGAAAGAAAAGAAAAAAAAAGTGGTCATATACAAAGAAGCTGCTCTTTCCTCAGTTTAAAGTTTCCATTTGCAATATTGGATGAGAATGGGTGAAGGTGCGCCAGCAAGCTGTGGTGGCATAAACTGCTTGACTTACAGTGACTAAAATCTCTGTCTATTTGAAGTAAGCCTTTGCCAGACCCGAAAGGCTCTATTTTCCCAATAACCTGATACCAGCTTTGGTCAAGGCACTAGCCATGGCAGCTGCACTAAGCCATGGACTCTCATAAGCTATTTTTATCTCAAATACTCACTAGGACCCACTGGGTCACCAGCATGCTCAGGGGAAGGTTTGGGGCCTTGAATCCTACCTTCCACTCCACAGGGATAAAGAGCACGAGGACGGAGAGGAAGCATTTTTATTAAATGGTTCATTGAGGCTCCTGCATGCCCTCAGAACAAGGTTTTTCAGTAAATGTGGGTCAGAGAACTTGACTTTGGCCAGGAGGTCTCAGCAAGAAATCCTGCTCCCTCTTTCTGAATCTGAGAGTTCATGACCCAACCAGCTGCACGGAGGAGGATGGCTGCCCTGCTCAGAGAGGCCAGGCCCTTTATAGTCACCACATGGAGACGGGAAGCAGAAGAGAAGAAACGGGGTCATGAATTCCCACCCAACAATCTGACATTTCCCTCCCTGGGTTCAGCCCTCTTGACTTCATACCTGGGTTTGCCCCCTTCCTCAGCAGCACTTTCAGAACAATCCCTTAGCCCCCAGCGTGGCATAAACAACCATGCGGCAAACAGAGCTTGTCTTCTTTGAGTCCCCTCCACCCCAACGTCCTCATGCTGCCCACCAGGACACCCCACACAGTCCCTTCTTCTCCAGCCTGAGCTCGGGGCACCACCCCATCTCGGGTCGCTTTTCACCGCCAGCCCAGCAGGGGACGCCAGAACGATGCAGATGAAGCCAGAGCCGCCGGGGATGCAGAAGCAAGGCTCCCACGGGCCGCTCCTGGTCTTTGACGCTCGTTCTAAGTGCCCAGCAGAGACAGGCACTCTCGGGCTTCGGTTTGGGGCACTCCTTACTCTTCTCAATGGTGAAGACTGAGCCAGACTCTTTTCCGTTTAATTTTTAATTTATTTTTATTTTGTATTTTTTGTAGAGATGAAGTCTCACTTTTTTGCCCAGGCTGGTCTCGAACTCCTGGGCTCAAGCGCTCTTCCTGCCTTGGCCTCCCAAAGTGCTGGGATTACAGGCGTGACTCATCGCACCCGGTCCCCGTTTTATTATTTTATTTATTTATTTTTTAGAGAGGGAGTCTCTGTCACCCAAGGTGCAGTGGCACGATCTTGGCTCCTGGGTTCAAGCGAGTCTCCTGCCTTAGCCTCCCGAGTAGTTGGGATTGCAGGCATGCGCCACCATTCCCAGCTAATTTTTTTGTATTTTTAGTAGAGACAAGGTTTAACTGCGTTGGCCAGGCTGGTCTCAAACTCCTGACCTCAGGTGATGTGCCCACCTTGGCCTCCCAAAACGTTGGGACTATAGGTATGAGCAACCGTGCTTGGCCCGTTTTATTTTTTGAAATATTTACTACTTCCCTTGTAAAACTCCAGAGATAGAGATAGAGAATTCTAGTGCCAAAACAAAGTTACTGAAAGTGTGGTATATCTCGAATGTTTACACTTGGCAAGTCAAAGCTGTGACCCCCACCCCCAAATAAAAAATAAGTGAGTAAAAGAAAGCCAGTCATGATGGCTCACGCCTGTAATCCCAGCGCTTAGGGAGGCTGAAGGGTCATTGCCAAGTTTAAAATGAAGAAACTGAGGCCAGTATAAGAAAATTAAATGCCAATTTATTCAGCTCCCAGGCGAGGTTCCATGGTCCTGGGAAAGGGACCAGAGAAGTGGCGCTGACTTCCCGAGGAGTAGGGCTTTTATAGTGAGCAAGGAGGAGCAGGGTGTTCTGATTAGTTATGGGGGAATGGGACGTGCATGGGGCAAGCTACTATTGGTTGCAAGTTTCAGTGGGCTTTCGGGGCAAGCTGCTATTGGGCAGGTTTTGGTGGGGCTTCTTTTAAATTTTGGTGGGCTAGGTGCCACGTGCAGAGCTTGGTGTAGGGGGAGGGGGCAGAGTGGTGACGTAAGTTTTCCGGCACCAAGATGGGTGGGTGTGTCCGAGCTCTTGGTGAGGCAACTGGCCTTACATTAAGCAGGAGGATCACTTGAGCTCAGGAGTTCGTGACCGACCTGGGCAACAAAATGAGACACAATCTCCACAAAAAATACAAAAATGAGCTGGGTGTGGTGATCCATGCCTGTAGTCTCAGCTACTTGGAAGGCTGAGGATCACTTGAACCCAGCAGGTCCAGGCTACAGTGAGTGGTGAGCCCCACTACACTCCAGCCTGGGTGACAAAGCCAGACCATATCTCAAAAAAAAAAAAAAACCCCAAAGCTGTAACTCTCGACCTCCAAAACACACACACACACACACACACACACACACACACACACACAAAATGTGTAAAATATTTGAAGATATTTATTCTGAGCCCAATATGGGTGACAATAGTTTGTGACATAGCCCTCAGGAGACCCTGAGAACGTGTGCCCAAGGTGGTTGCAGCATGGGGCACAGTTTGGTTTTATCTGTTTTAGGGAGACATGAGACACCAATCAACACATTTAAGATATACATTGGTTAGATACAGAAAGGCAGGACAACTCAAAATGGGGAATGGGAGTATAGAGGGCTTCAAGGTTATAGGCAGATTAAAAAATTTTCTGGGCCAGGCACAGTGACTGATACCTGTAATCCCAGCACTTTGGGAGGCTGAGGAGGGCAGCTCACCTGAGGTCAGGAGCTTGAGACCAGCCTGGCCAACATGGTGAAATCCTTCTCTAATAACAAATACAAAAATTAGCTGGGTGAAGTGGCAGGTACCTGTAATCTCAGCTACTCAGGAGGCTGAAGCAGGAGAATCACTTGAAGCTGGGAGGCAGAGGTTGCAGTGAGCCGAGATTTCGCCCTGCACTGAAGCCTGCATTCAAGACTCTGTCTCGACATCAGAAAAAATTCTCATTGTCAATGGTTAAAAGATTATCAATAGAAAGCAGTATCTAGGTTATGATAAGGGTTATGGAGACCAAAGTTTTATCATGCAGCTGAAGCCTCCAGGTAGCAGGCTAGACTGTAAAAGTTTTTTTTTTTTTTTGAGACAGAGTTTCACTCTTGTTACCCAGGCTGGAGTGCAATGGCGCAATCTCGGCTCACTGCAACCTCCGCCTCCTGGGTTCAGGCAATTCTCCTGCCTCAGCCTCCTGAGTAGCTGGGATTACAGGCACGCGCCACCATGCCCAGCTAATGTTTTGTATTTTTAGTAGAGACCAAGTTGACCAGGATGGTCTCGATCTCTTGACCTCGTGATCCACCCACCTTGGCCTCCCAAAGTGCTGGGATTACAAGCGTGAGCCACCACGCCCAGCCCTGTAAAAGTTTTTTTTATCAGACTTAAGGTCTATGTTGATGTTAATGCTGGTCAACTTTTTCTGAATTTCAAAAGGCAGGAAAGCATTATGAGGCTGATGTGATCACTTTCCCTGATGGCCTGAACCAGTTGTTCGGGTTGACTTTGGAGTGCCCTGGCAGAGAAGAGGGAGTCTATTCAGATGGTGAGGGGACCCTTAGATTTTTATCTTTGGTTTACAACAAACACGTACACACAGAGTCCCAGACACACATGTGTATATATGTGTATATAATGCAACATAACAGCGCAATTCACAAGCCATATGAAGATAATATGAATTAACAGTATACCATAGTGCTAGTAATGGGAGCAAGTTTAGGATGCGTGTCTCCTACTGATCCCACGGAGTGAGGCTGAGTGTAGCTCTGTGACAGGTGCATGACCCCACACATTTAAGGTCTGTATCTGAGGCCCTCCATAATCTGAGGCCTTAGCCAAATGGCAGTCCTGGTCCACTGCCTGCTCTCCAACCCCACCCTTATGGTCCAGGACACCAAGAAATATTATACTCAATGAAGAGTGGAGAAGGTGGGGAGTCCAATGTTACTGGGCCTCTTCCTCCAGTTCCCAACCTGCCACCGCAACGGAGAAAGGCTCTCAGCTGGCCTGGGGAACACGGCTGGACAGTGAGGAGGAAGCTTCTCTGTTCCTGGACTGCTCTCTGTATCAGCTTCCACGCCAAAAGTCTCTACCTTGGTCTGTTATCCCCTCTCCTTAGGCCCCAGAGCCTTTTCCTGTGTTTGTGTTGTTTTTGTCAGAGCAGGAAGTCTTCCTGGAAATCCACCAGAAATTCAACATTCTCCTCCCTCCCCAGGGGATCCTGGCCTTAGGCATGCACCTCACCCCACCTCAGCTCTGGCTGAGGCGTGAGGCCAGAAACACAGGAAGCCATCTTCCCAGGAACCTGCCCTGCCCTGGGGCTCTGTGTCAGCCCGGGGCCTGCCTCCCAACACAGCAACACTAAGAGCAGCAACTCCTTACCATGAAAACAGCAATAAGGGAGAAAAAGCTCATCATTTCTAAAGAAAATGAGAAAAATTCAGAAGTACTCACAGAAGAAAACCACCATAACCTGGATGTCCACCATGCTGCTCTTCTTGGTGTCCCTTTCTCACCAGGAGCTGACGCCTGAACCATGACTGTCCAGCCACATCTGCACGTATGCGCAGGCACTCCAGCCTGTCCTCCTTGTTTGGTTGTCAGAATCCTCACCTCATCTAATCAGTGTGGGAGATGATAAGGCTAAATGAGAATGCCCAACTGTGTTCACTCTCCTGTGTTATAGACTAACAGCTCAGGGTATCCTGGGAGTCCATGAAATAACTGTCCTGCTAGAAGCTCCTGGAAGAGGGAATTCTGAGGTCATCTATGTTGGAAACACCATCTACATGGACCCATCCTGTATCCACCGGGTTGAAGTCCAAATAGTGCTACAAACTAAGTTTTTAAAAATAACAGTCTGGGTGCAGTGGTTCATGCCTGGAATCCCAGCACTTTGGAAGGCCAAGGCCGGTGGATCACTTGAGGTCAGCGGTTTGAGACCAGCCTAGCCTACATGGTGAAACTCTGTGCCTACTAAAAATACAAAAATTAGCCAGGCATAGTGGCAGGCACCTGTAATCCCAGTTACTTGGGAAGCTGAGGCAGGAGAATCACTTGAACCCAGGAGGCGAAGGTTGCAGTAAGCCAAGATCACGCTACTGCACTCCAGCCTGGGCGAAAGAGTAGGA